CTTTACCTCGCTAAGCCAGAAATAAAGAAAGCTGGTGAAGAGGAAAGGTTGGGCACGAGGCTAGCAACCCCATCCTGCAAAATAAACACTGCTACAGAAACTTCTAGCCACTAGCTTGAAGCCCTATGTTCCAGTGGGGAACGTGAAGGAAAAAAAATTATAATAATAATATAGGGTGATAAAATAAGTAGTATTTTGTATGATAATTGTGCTGAGTTGAATGCAAATATATAAAAATTATTGTGAAATACGAGACGGCGACGGGGATCAGTCAAAAACAGAGTTATACAATGTAAGAAAGGAAAGTCGAGATAGCTGTTTAAGGTTGTAAAACGACTTTGGTGAGTGTCTCCACCGCCTACCTGGCTATTGTTGCAATGATAACAACTATTTTGCATGGATACATATGTGTAAAACTTGGGCACTGTGATAGGAAGTAATTCCATATTAGTTTGTTTCTTAGATGTATCACACAGTGAAACAGTATTATTTACTGGATGACGTTCCGAACACAATTTAATATTGTTAATAATTATATCAATTATAATCACACGACTTCGAAACTTGAGTTTTATGGATTTCTTTCTTCTCTCCTATTTGTCGTCGTTGGGTTAGTAGAATTTTCCAGATATCTGGGTGGACAGGTGTTGAGTCATTCCTATTAGACGTATTCCCTCCCAATAGATTCGATAAACAAGGCTTCTGTTATCAATCTCTCCCTCCACCCTGTGACATTAGGTTTTAAAACTGTCATCTTATCCCATCCATCCTATTGAATGGTTGTGTTATGGTTGAACTACTCTCTAGATTTCTCATCTTATTTGGGTCAACTAATCTAGAATTTGCTAGGTTTTTATGTTCGGTTAGTCTGACTTCCCTTGTTCTACTAGTTTGACCTATGCATTTGACCTGACAATAATACCAGCAGGGTTTTAGATAAACCAAATTAATGACGACGTGCATGTCAAATATGCACGAGACAACACCAACAATAAGGAATCTAAATCATCAGTAGTAATTCCATACAAGGAAGTAGCCTCGAAAACCTTACGCAGAATTCTTAACAATTCTGGCAGGAATAAAAATGACTGGCATTTGATCACCCTCAAACTCAATTAGAAACACGTTTTGTCGGTTAAAGGATCAGTCCTGTGGAGCCTTTAAAACAAAAAATTTAGTTTATCTAATACTCTACTGGAATGATTGTCACGTCAAGTATATTGGTGAAAGTAGTATAACAGGTGCAATCAGACTAGTCGAACATAAAAGCCTACCAAAATCTAGATTGGATGACCCGAATAAGATAAGAAATCTAGAGAATAGTTCAGCTGTATCACTCACTACATGCAGTTACACACAATCATACAATAGGATGGGATAGGATGACAGTTTTAAAATCTAATGTCACTGGGTATAGGGAGAGATTGATAACAGAAGCTTTGTTAATCGAATCAACTGCGAACCCTCTCGATGAATAGGAGAGGACAAAGTAAACTATAAAACTGAAGTTTGGAAGTCGTGTGATTATAACTGATATGATTGTGAGCAATAAATTTAGTTCGAAACGTTATCCAGTAAATAATACTGTCTCACTGACTGTGTGATACATCTAATGGACAAACTAATATGGAATTATTTTGCATGGACCTGAAGCTGGAGTCACTAGTTCACTGATAGAATGTTCACCAGCCACATACACACACGTGGTCCGGGTTCAATCTCTGGCCGACACACTTTTAAACCTGGCCTAATTTACTAGCCTGTAATAAGAACGCAGAAGAGGGAAATTTGTATGTGCCAGGCTACTGAAGCTATAAAGCCTGAAGCCCTGTAATCGACTTGGCATATATAGGAAGGAAGAGAAGAACCTTAAGAGAATTCAAAAAAGTATTCCACATTCAGACCGACTATCACGTAGGAGACAAATGGCTTCAACTGCACTTCTCCACTTTCTTCTGTCTTCTGCTGTGCTTTTCACCTGCATCCATGTTAGTTCATACTGTTTCAACTCCTCTTCACACGATCTCCTCCATGTCACCCACACTTGGACGTCCCACTCGCCGCTTCCCTTTCGGTTTCCACTCGAGTGATGGCCTGACGCGCGATGCCACCCAGCGACCTCCTCATCGAGTGTCCAATCCATCTCCACTTTCTCCTGCATATTTGTTGGGCGATTGGTTCTTGTTTTGTTTGTTCCCATACTATCTTGTTGGTGATTGCTTCCGGCCATCTGATCTTCAGTATAGAGCGAAGACAGTTGTTGATAAAGGCCTGCAACCCGTTGGAAATAAATATTCTTTGTGACCCACTGGCCAAGTTTCTGATCCGTATAGAAGAACTGACTGACTTGGCGTTTGTATTGAAAATCCGAATTTTGTTGTTGATGCAGGCTGAGTGACGAAGATTTCCAGATTGGTTTCAGGTTGATGAATGTGTTTTTCGCCTTCCCGATTCTCGATTTGACATCCTCGTCCGTTCCGAATTCCTGTAGTTGAGACAATGCTCCCTAGATAAGTGAATGAAGTAACCTCTTTCGTCAAATCCCTCCTGTTGATGGTGATTGGCACTGGAAGTTGCTGTTGTTGTTGTTGGTTGGTTATTTTCATAACCTCCGTCTTGTCTATGTTCACCTGGAGTCCTGTCTTTGCTGCTTCTTCGACCAGTTTGTCGGTTTTCACTTGTAAGTCTTCGATTTTGTGTGACATCAAACATAAATCATCCGCGAAATCCATTCAGTTTACTTTTACATTATTTTGACTGTTGTTTACTAACAGTGGAATCCATCATGTACACATCTCATCCCATTCGGCACTCATCAACTGAGTGCATGTATATTCTCAATTATTGATGATACTTTTCACCCATCATTTCAAACTCCGAAGCACTGTCCACTAAGCAACAACAACAGCCAGCCAATCAGTCATTATTTGTTCCTAGGTTAATTTTTGCAAAACCACTCACTGGGCATTCATTGCAGGTACATCCATCTGACAGGTCCTACATAGGATCCTCGATCCCAGTGCCAGTTGCCATCAACCAAAATAACTTCACACCACACTCGTAGAACATCATTGAAGCGTCAGTACTAGGAAGGGATATTTCAACAGAGACTGATCATTACATAGGCTTTACACAATCAATCAATCAACAGGTAGGTAATGAATATATAACGGTAGCCTGCTTAAATCACTGGCCCGTGTGAATTTCCGTGCAAGACAATGCATAAAATTCCCTCTGCTTCTTTTTGCTTTAACTATTCAGTTATGTTGGTGGTTGGTCAAATATACTCACTCATGCAAACTACTGTTGAGCATTTCTCCGGCGACAAACGAAGAATACCATAAGGGATACTTGTTCTTTGGATTGAACAGTATTGCGTAACTTTGGATTTCTATTTCATTCTACTTGAAGGTCGTGGATAAAGAGAAAATATTATGCAATAAATCACATTAAAACATTCTGTACATTGTGTAAAAACTGTTGTGCAGAATAAATCTGTTATCAGTATTATTACTGACTTGGTGGTTCAGTGGTAGAGTGGTCGCCAACCATGCTCGTGGTCTGCGGTTGGATTCCAGGCAGGCGCCCCCCCCACCTTTACCTCCTCTAGTCGGTTGTACGCCTAACAAATAGGGAAGGTTGGGCATGAGGCTAGCAACTCCATGACGTAAAAAAGCCACCACCACTCAAGCTTGAAGCCTCCGTATGTTCCACTTGGAACGAAAAAAGGAACAAAATAACTCCATTATGGATAAGATTTTATTTTGATAAATCACACAGTGTTATACAGTAATATTAACTGATAACCAGGTTTCGAGCACAAAGTATTGCCACTCATAATCATATCAACTCACTCACACAACTATTTTTGCTTCATTTATATACATGAGTGGAATTGAGGATTAGACATTTGAATACAAATCAATATGGGATAATGTACATTCAGAAATAAGAATAATATGAGTGTTATTGATCAATTACAATCAGATGGGAAAAAATAGGACGAGTGTTTTTTATATGGTAATAATAAGTAACTTGTTAGAATGTTGTGATGTGCTTGAATTGAAGTAGAATTTTGAGATTATTTATTATCCTCTTCTGATTTGACTGACTGGTGGTAATAATATCTTCCATATTTCTGGTATTTGCATTGAGTCATTCCTGTTGTGCATGTGTTGGGTGTAGACTCAATGAACCAGGATTCAGCAATCAATCTCTCCATCTACATAGATTACTTCTTAGAATCTTAACCCTCTCCCACCATGCTATTGTGTGGTTTTGTGTTAATGCGTGTAGTGCAGTGTAGTGCTGAGCTTTTTTCTAAATTACTCATCTTCTCGGGTGGGGTCAACCTTTCTTACCTTAGCTAAATTCTTATGTTCCGACAATCTGATTACTCCCGATCTACTCTTTTGACCTATATAGTTGACCGCAATCACAGTTATTGCAAGGTATTTTGTAAATTATATTATTTTGTTTAATTGGGTCACCAACCGGGTCTTTTAGCCTACAGAGCTTGTCCTACCTGAGTGAGTTTGTAGGTTTGAATGCCAACACCCTAATTCCTGCTTTATTGAGAATCCTACGTAGGATCTCAGATGTCCTCTCCTTATGTGGTATAACAGTAGATGACTTATATTCTCTCTTATTTATGTTATCATTACTAGTTTCACAATTATTTTTAATTTGTTTTTGGTCTTTACTGATCTTCCTAAAAAACAAACTTTTTCACATTGGTGTAAAACTAGGAATATTTAAGGGACGCGGGTTCGAATCTCAGAAGGGACACGAGTTCCTTCAAGGTGATTGCAGATACACCTTGCTGACTGGTGAGTGCCAACTAGCACGAAACCTAGGTCATTCAAGACTTCCTGTAGCCGATTGTCTCCAACTATCTAATATCATCGAATGACTGTTTTGCTGTTTTACAGACAAATGTAGAAATTTTATCATATATATATATAATTTTATGTAACTTTATTTATTGTTATAACCCACAGATACAAGGATACTCTACTTCGCAATCGTTTAGCGTCTATGAAAATGTTGCCTGGGGTGAAGATATTGATCCGGCTAAATCCCTTCTCAACGCTCCATCTTCAGTCTACACATATGGAAGAGGGGAACAAGTGAGCAATCTAGGTGATGTCAATAGAATCGATGATAAGCAAGTGTCAATTTCAATTTCAGACTATGGTGGTGGTCTGCTGACGGATAGATCGAATACGCCAACGTCTGTGATGCCTATCCATCGGTAAAATATATATATATTGGATGACGCAGAATAATGCACACTCACACACACTTTCACAAGTAGAATAAACACACACACCACTTTGAGAAATGAAGATGATCGCCTTATTTTTAAAGATAGAAAATTTTAAAAAAACAAAACAGAAAAAACAGAAAAAGAAGAAAGATTTATTATTTTGCTTTATTTATTAAAGAACACAATCAGTACATTGTTGTATGCACTTTAACTGTATCGTCCGCATATAAGAATAATCCGCGCCTTAATCGCGCTTATTCACTTGTAAAATCATCGAATATATATATATATATATATGCAAAATATATACAACACAGAGAATTAAACCAGTCTAGAGGTATTATAACAACGCCTTATTGAGATATTTTCTATGAATATTCCAATATATATATATATATATATACATGTATCCTATCATCATACAAAATAACAGATATATATATATATACATAATGTTTCAAGAGTATGAATTATTTTCATTTTTGGCATTTCGATATTTTATTAAAACAGTTGCTCTTTTCACCCCACCTCACCCCCCTCCCCCTGTTAACATATACATATGCATATAGATATACTGAGCTGCATCACCTTTTGTAGAGAGAGAGAGCGAGAGAGACCAGTGTGATTATGACTGATTGCTTAGATTTGTAAATTATAATAGTAATAATCATTACTAGTATTATTATTATTATCATTATTGCTATTATCACTGATGACGTTTGTGTTACCAGACAGATGTTGCGTGTACAAATAAGATATATATATATATATATATATATATATATATTACATATGTTCCATTCAACAAGAAATTCTCTTCTGCAATGTCTACATATCTTATCTACCCACATATGTATGCATGATTAAGCTTCCGAAAACTGTATAAAATAGTGAAACATTAATTAACAAAATGCCTTACAATTGTGATATTTAGTAATGTGATTCTCAACTATTATTATTATTATCTTCTATTATTATTATTTGCTTGTCTATACTTCAAATGAATTGAAATAAATAGCTTTTACTGAACACCAGTTTTTTTTTTTTAATTCTTTTACATTCCCAGTGGAACATAGGGAGGGCTTCAAGCTAGAGGCTGGAAGTTTCTGTAGCAGTGGTGATTATTTTTTTACAGGATAGGGGTTGCTAGCCTCATGGCCAGCCCAACCTTCCCTCTCTTTATTAGTCTTACGACGGTTGAATGAGGTAAAAAGGAGTGAGTTGGTGGCCGGGGATCGAACTCTGAAACACACTGTGTTTTTTTTAATAATAATAATAATTCGCTTCATTCCAGAAACAGTACTAGTGGTACAGTGTGGAATTTTCAGCACATATCTACAATATTTGCATCTAATTTTATCAAACATTTAAAAGGAGTATTTCAAAAATAAATATAAGGGCAACAACACCAAAAATAACACAAAAATAATTTTAAAAAATGCGAAAAAAAATACCAAGAAGTAGAAAGGAAAATAAACATCATATAATAATATCTCAGTATTGGGTAGTGGAAGCTATGATATGATTATGCATGGTGACAGTAAAGCTAAAGTCATACAAGAAGTTATGAAATGATATTTAAGAATGTTTATCGCCAAGATGATCAGTTAATTTAGGCTGAAACAACACTAAACAATCATAAAATAACATTTCAGGGTTGTTGTTTGTTTTTTATTGTCAGGTCTAATGCAGTGTTTGTAGTAGTAGTAGTAGTGTGAGTAATCCTGCATAATACAAAATTTTAAGATGGTGATAATGGCTTTCACAACCAATGATTGTCAGTTAATATTGCCGAAAAAAAAAAAAAACAACCACAAAAACTAATAATTACATGATGGTTAATGACAGGACAATTTTGTACTACTCATAGTGCTAATATAGTTGGAACCAGTAGATACACAAAAGAAAGAATAGAGTAAAGTACAAAAAACTAAGCCAATGTTAACAATTTAGGTAGCTAAGTATGTTTAAGAAGGAGTTCACTATAGAATACAAAATAAGAGAGAAATAAAAGAGCCTAAAATTATGTTATTAACAACAAAGCAAGTCATAGGTTTCACGCTTAACATTGTCTCTGTCACTTAGAACACGGGCCAAGTATGGTATCGTTGAGTTCCTGTACTTGGTTGTACGAGCATAAATTATTTTATACTGATTTCTGGTTCTACCTGATGAGATACAAGGAGAGAGTTGGGAATAGAGGGGGTGTTGGGGGTCGGAGAGTATGGTTTTTGACCATTTTTCGCATGTATTCAGATGCCTTTCAACTAATGTAGTGACGAGCTGACTGAGTTTTACACCACTAGTCCTACTAACTATCTTCAACATCCTTCTCAGGATGGTATAGACCTTTTTCAGTAGCCCAGGAAAGACTAACGGGGAGCAGTAAAGTAGAATAGGTAAGATACAAGAGTTGACAAATTGTGAAAGTAGAGGTTGGGTGATTCCAGATTGTCTAAGTTTCTTAATGTAGTAGGTTAGACAGAACACTTTCTTAGAAATCGTTAGGATATGAGATGTCCAAGTAATGTCGGAAGATAGAACTAGACCGAGGTATTTTGCATTAGACTTAGTTTCAATTTTAGTCCCCTTAATGCAACAGTCTTCATGAGTACTTACTAGTGTTTGTAGATCTCGTTTATGCCTAAGGGAGAAGTCAATAGTCTGGCATTTTGAGGGATTCAGCATGAGGCCATTTAGTTTAGACCACTGACTGATGTCCGACAGGAAGCTATTTAATTTGAGACAGTCTGACTGAGACTTAATGGGAAACGATACAGACAGGTCATCTGCATATTTTTCTTAATTGCAATGCAATACACGAACAGAATAAATACTATTGAACATTGAATTGTATCGCTAGGATCATCATTATAGTAATAATAATAGCAATAACACCAGTTTAAATCATTCCAGCGAAAAGAACAATGGACCTAAATAAAACAAACTTTTGTTGTAGTTGTTTATCAACACCCTGAGTCTATGTCATATTACCAATCTTTCTAGGGCACCTAGCGGAAATTTTTAATATGCTCAAATATGATTTCAGGATCCAGCAGTCAAAAAGAAAAAGTTACTAGCTTAATCTAGTGCCAAGTTACATTTACTAGTTTTTTTTTAAAAAAAAGGGAAAATGTCTAGCGATTCACCAGGAAAAATAAATGATCACATGCTTCAACTAAAAACATACAACTTCAGTAGTATTTAATTGGTGGATGGTGACTAGCAGTGGAATCCAGGACAACGCGCATTTCGTCCTATTTGGGACTCATCATCTGGATATACCGGCATTCCCCAGTGAGTGATGATGTTCCCACCGAGGCTCGAACCCAGTGCCTATAGTTTCAAACGAAAAAGCGTTATTCACTTGAGCCACGAGAGCCATCTCTTGTGCAACGGATCGTATAAATTATTTAATTGAATTTTAGATTTTCCCGTCGATTGATTGGACCGAAGTGGACTTGCATTCACTAGGGAATGCACGTAAATCCAGCTGACGAGTCCCAAATAGGACGAAGTGCACATTCTGGATTCCACTGCTAGTCACCACCCACCAATTTAATTCTAATTACATGCCCAGACATCGTCGAAGCATCTGCTCAAGAAGCCGACATGTCAACCTGAGACCGAGCACTTCGGTCCAATCAATCGACGGGAAAATCTAAAATTCAATAAAATAACTTCAGTAGTAGCTTGAAAGTTGTTGAAGTATTGTAATAAAAGTTATGCAAACAAACACAGTGTTCCTGCAGAAATATTGATACCTATGAGTTGATTGATAATCATAACTGTAACACAACACACAACGCCTACGCAAAGTATACTTTGAAGACTATACCTCAGAAGTCCACTTGAAGATAAATGCTAACTTAAGTAGACTGTGAGCCAATCGAATTACTTACTATTAACTAAATATTAAGAAACAGTTTTATTTACTGGATGACAATGTTTCGAACAAAATTTATTGTTCATAATCATATCAGTTATAATCACACGACTTCAAAACTTCAGTTTTATATTTTTTTGTTCTCTCCTATTTGTCGTCGTTGGGGTAGTAGAATTTTCCAGATGTCCGGATGGACAGGTGTTGAATCATTCCTATTACATGTGATTGCAGTTGATTCGATGAACAAAGCTTCCGTTATCAATCTCTCCCTCCACCTAGCTGATACATTAGATTTTGAAACTGTCATCTTATCCCATTCATCCTATTGTATGATTGTGTGTAACTGCATGTAGTGAGTGATATAGCTGAACTATTCTCTAGATTTCTTATCTTATTCGGGTCAACCAATCTAGATTTTGCTAAGTTTTTATGCTCCGTTAGTCTGACTGCCCCTGTTCTACTAGTTTGACCTATGTATTTGGCCTAACAGTCATTGCAGCAGGGTATTAGATAAACTAAATTGTTTTATATTAAAGGCTCCAAAAGATTGATCCTTTAACCGACAAAGCTTGTTTCTAATTGAGTTTGTGGTTGGTTTGAATGCTAGCCACTTTTATTCATGCTTTGTTAAGAATTCTGTGTAAGGTTTGCGAGGTTACTTCCTTGTATAGAATTACTACTGCTACTACTACACTACCACAGTGCCCAAGTTTTACACATATATAGATATTAAGAAAAAAATCTAAGAAAGATATCCCTGCTGCTAACTCTGAAGGACATTTGGTGAATCCAACTTTTAAAACACTATCCGGAACACCAAATGAAAATATCATAAAAAGGCACTTAAACTCATATTACTGCACCAATCACAGTATCGACTTCAAAATACAACACTCTGTAGTTGAATAAAACTCAAACCATTTTACAAGAAAAAAACGAAGTCAAGAAGGAGCTTGAGGTATTTATTGAACTTCTATAAGTCTAAGAACAACAAAGTTCAGCGAAGAGTCTCTTTTCGGCGGTGAATTCATTCACTTAGCTGTACAATCGCATTTATATATAATTATTTTGTATGTGTTTGTTTGTGTGTACATTAGGACTGTCAAAGAAAAATAAAATAAAAATTAGTTAGAGTTACTGTTTGTGTCATCGAAATGTTTCAAAAATGTGATGAATAATCAAATTGTAACTAGGGGGGGGTGAAGATTGGTAAGTACTGACAAGGGTTGCGTAATATGAAATAGGATGTTAATGGAGACACGTATCCAAAAAATAAATTGTGTAACCGGTAGAAAGAGTAAATAAGCGGTTGGTTAAGAAGAAGATGTTACTACGAATCCATACGAAAATTCAAAAAACAAAACATTATTAACAAAGTCGTAGAATTCAGAATTAAACCCAAGGTAGAAGGA